AGATTTTCAGTACAAATCGGCAATTTCATACTTTAACCCCTATTATAAATACAAGTTGCAGACCAGTATCGTGTTAGAAGATATTTACGTAATCCGGTTTTGAAAATAGAATGTCGGGTTTCAGATCAGAGTTCGTTCCACAATTGTGCAGCCTTAATCGTATAGGAATAGACAGGCGTGTAGTATACCGACTGGCGCACGACTTGTTCGTCCCGTCACTTGATATAAAAAAGGAATCTTTGTAATATTCAGAGCGGGTGTGAAAGGATTCAGTAGGTTTATTTAGGTTTTTATATTTGATAATAGATCTACGATGGTCCCTCGCCCCTTAAGACAATACACGAGCTACATAATTTGTCCACACTTTGTCAGACTTGTTCTGATATTTATAAGAGCTTTTTACAAGAGAAATGCTTTTATTTCTCAAGGAAATGTGTGAATAACTTCGCCCTTTCTGGGTCTGATATATTTTATTAATATGAATGAATTGTTTTGTCGTGCGCAGCGTGCTTCGCGGTGTTGGTCGATCGTTCTTGGCGGAGTTCTCGTGCGTCCAGTGCCGGCTGTGCCGCAAGTTGCTGGACGGCCCGGACGCCGCTGACGTCCACCTGCGTACCTGGCGGCACCACCAGCTCTTCTTGCGCCTGCTGCAGGACAAGATCAACCCCAAGACGCAAGTGAGTTACTACTTCGCTTCATCTTCATTATGTCAACCTATAGACTTCCACTGGTGGAGTCTCTAAGCATTGACCTTGACAAATATCAGGTTACATTTTTATTGAATGTCAGAATGTTTCACCACCATGATATTCAATTATTTTTTGTGAAATTACTCTCCTAGCTTGTTATAATTATTAATACGATTCGAACCGAACGTCTACTAGCAAACCGTGCCAGACAATAAGCCTCGGAAGGAGCCAGCGGACCTCACGAATTGTTCTATGTCTTTGTTGTCGGATCCTTGTATTTGGTTTTCAACAACTTTCAGCTCAGGGAATATCAGGTTATTTAGCAGCGAGACTTGCAAATACCGAGGGCAAAGAAATCCGTTGATAAAGGTTTAAAAAAACTAACAAACACAAATGTTATTTTGGCCTAACTTTCCATTAAATATTTTGGCTATCATCTCACGGAATAGACAGCGCTTTTCCTCTATGACAGGTTTTTCACTCTTGTTGTTTGGAAACTATGTAGATAGATAGATAAAACGGTTATTTGGATTATTATCGTTTATTATCTAGCAGCAGTAGAGCTCCTTGTGAAAGAATTTGTCCGGGGAAGTACTTGTCACCTTACCTATTTCCACCGCCAAGCAGTAATGTTAGCACGTGTGCACTGCTTGACACCCAGTTATGTATGTGTGCTGTAGCAGTGCAAAAAGGCCATAGCTCAGTGTCGGTGTTTACTCAGGGGCAAACCACTGATTATTAGCTATAACCTAGAGGATGCCGCGGATACGATAGCCGGCTAGCTGACGCCATTTCCGTGTTGTATAATTTAAACAAATAATAATTTCGATACTAAATAAATACGAAAGATAATATAAATATAATAAAAGATAAACATTTTTTAGGTTTAATTTAACTATATTAATAATACCTTCGATCCGGCCGGATTCCAACCGACGTCTTCTAGCTTACCGTGGCAGACGCTATACCAACTAAGCCACGGAACGAACCAGCGGACCTCACGAATTTTTCTATGTGCTTGCGTCGTATCTTTGTATTTGGTTTTTTCAACGACTTTTTAGTCGTAGCGCTATCTATGAGAAGTCTATGAAAGTTATATCACCCAGTTAGATATCTTTACAGTTATCAGCCCTGGCGAGAGATGTCACTATTGACTGTATTTAAAATTTTTATTGAATTGATATTCAATTATTTTTTGTGAAATTATTCCACTAGTTTGTTATAATTATTAATACAAAGATACAAAGAGAAGAAGAGAATTTTTTTTTGAGTGTTAGATCTTTGTATTAATAATTATAAGAAACTAGTGGAATAATTTCATAAAAAATAATTGAATATCAATTCAATAAAAATTTAATACATTAATAATATATAACTAAAATTATAAATTGAATTTTTATGTGAATGTAATTGACAGCATTTATTTGTATATAAACAGATTGGTGCCGGCGAGACAAGTGAACCGCAGCCACAACAAGACGGGCAGAAACGTCCACTCAACTCTGAAGAGTCTGGCAACTGGAAGCGACGCAAGACCGACGACGATGCAGAGCAGAATGGAATTGATGACGATGTCAAAGGTACCGTACAATACTATTTTTAGTAATAGAAATGATTAAATAGATATCATTTTTTTCATAAAGTCACAACAACATTCGAAAAAGTAATGTACACTGTATAGTTTGTATATAGTAACCACAAAATAGTTCTAGATAGTCACAGTTATTAGATAGATAATAGGATGACAGGGAGCAAGCGGCCGATCAAGGAGGAACCGGATGACTGGAAGACCTATAACGACGCTCAGAACTGGCATGAGATTATTAAGGGTAGGCGTATATCCCGATAGAATAACGTAGTAATTATTAATAGATTTTCTAATTATTATGTGAGAAGGTAATTAGTGCATGTTCCTGGGGAATTTAAAATGGTTTCATTGTATCATGTTACTATTTGAAGTATTTAAGTGTATATCCTAAATGTTTAAAATAATTCAGTGTGTACTAAAACTTAGTTGTAAGAATGTTATGGTGTTAGTTATGTATATTGTAGTATAACAAATATCATTATTATATTTCTTTTATTGAATATCATGGTGTTTGTACAGACGACAGGTAAATCAAGTTGCACTGGTGGCGATATTCGAACAAAAATGTATAGCTTGCCGTGCTGTTGACTGTACTACCATGTTATTCATATCTTGTTTTTTTTAATACTCCACTAATTTGTTATTATTGATAGAAAAATCGACCGAATATTCTTATTATTCCTTCTAATATTAATACTTAGCATAGGAAGGTTCGAAGGGGATTAAGGAAGACTTTGGTGTATAACGTTTATTACACGGACAAGATTCTTAGCTCTTCAGTTTGAGACAGATGGCTATTCTTGACCTCCACCGTAATTAACGGTCGATTGCGACACAATTGTTTGGGATAGAAACCGCTTTGCTCGTGGCTTTAAGTTGGCAAAAGAAAATTGCAAAGAGTAGAACAAGATAAAATTTTGTTTGCCATGTTTTCATACCAAATGTTGTGACTGCTAAATTCTATAGTGCCCCACTGTACAATTTACCGTAATTTTCTTTTCATATTTTTCGCGGTCGCTAGTGACAATAACTCCAGAAGCACGACAGTGCGCGACTTGAGCGAGAGCAACACAAAGCGCGACTAACTATTATTGTTTATACGCTACTAATTATTACTATCGCTTAGAAAATAGCAACATTTCGCGCTTTATGCAGCTGTCGCGCTAGTCGCGCCCTGTCGTGCTTGCTTTACAGGTACAGGCTGAAATACGAACTCCATCTGTATTTGATCCGCAGGACTTGGTCTGTTAAATTGTAAGAGGTTGTAATATTTATTTTATTGAATACCATGATATTTCTTTACTTTTTGTGAAATTACTATTAAAAATAAAGATTGAACACAAAGAAAAATTCCTTCGATCTGACAGGATTCGAAGCTGCGTCTATAACACCAATCTAGATCAACACAATGTGTTCAGTCGTTGTAGTAATAATTTTAAGAGGTTGAGTGTCGACCGTGCACGTGAATCCAAAACATTTTCTTGGCGATTTAATTAATTTTTTATTAAGTGAGTAACAACGACCCATAGCATACATTACATTATATTATTATATTAACTTCCACTATATAGTGATAATGGAATCTATTTATAAAATTCAATTAAAATAATATTAAAGTGTCATAAAATTCGGATAAAATATAAGTATTCAAATAGAGTCACACGTCTCGCGTTGGACCTGTAAAATTGCAGTTAGCTGTACTAGCAGTCCGGCAATGCAGTCGTCTTGCTGTTATGAAGACAGCTCGTGCGACTACACATTTAATAAGATGTGGTGGTAGCGTTAGATTAGTATAAGAACACACTGTTAAACAAGTCTCTCATACTTATCATTAGTCTTGTGTTGTTTTAAATGTTGGTAATAAATCGCTCATTTGGTGCTACACTGACGCAATTGTATTTCGTGTGTAGAAATGGATTTGAATAGATTTTTTAATTTGATTTCAAATTTATGCCCTGTCAACAAAACTTTGTGTATTTATATATATATATATATATTTGCTACCGATTTTTCTTCAAACGTAAACACGTGTTATGTTACAGATTTGTTATAACATACTTAATTCCATTTTGCCAAAATTACAATTACGTCAATGTAGCACCAAATACGCGAAATATGAATTTTACAATATAATCTCATTAAAATGTTTTTAATTGTAACGATTTGCAAATAATATGTTACAGAAGAACCCCGGACTGATGATGCCGATGGGGACACTGAGATGCCATCGGCTGATGATCTTGAGGACTGGGAACAGTCTGTGGATGAGATTTTGAACGACGAACAGAACTGCGAAGGTGCTGTATACTTTGCACGTCCTGTGATAATTTATATATAAACTCATCAGTTTGATACTGCATCAATAATTTACCTTAGTAGTTTAGACATCGTTAATGTTATGTTTAAATTTACTTGACATCCTATTTCAATTAGCTTTTTTATAATACCAAGTGACGGCACGAACAAGTCGTGCGTATGGCGGTAAGCGACAAGCCTATCCTTAACAGTTGCAGTGCCACACAGACCTTTAAATTGCAATGATCTTAGGAGCACTGCTACTGCGCCCGTTACACTGAGACAAAAGTTGACGAGCCTGTAAATTCACCAGCACCCTTACTCTTCCAAACCGGACCTAAAATGATTTGTAAAAAGAATTATTTCGAACAGTAAACAAATAATTTATAATATAAACAATCTCCTGTTTGTATATGTGTCGCTCATTATAAAAGTGGTGTAAGTCCATAATTTAAAACACATTTTTTTGCTTAAAAGTGTCACATTTAGTCATATCTTTCATTATAAAAGTAAAGCAACTTCAATAATTGCACTAACATCTTATATCCTCAGAGAACTAAAATTACTACACATTAATTTGCTTAAAGCTCATTATTTCAAAATTTAATTACAAGGACTTAATTCACTTTTACATTGAACGACATACATAAATGTAACGTAATCTAAAGTAAGCTTGTGAAATACATTTTTTTTTTGCAATGTGGCATTTTGTTAACAGAAACCCAAGAAAACGCCGGAGAAGAAAAACTCCAAGACGAAGTTCCAGTGGAGGAAGAGGCCCCGGCCCCCGAGCCTGTATCGGCACCGGTACCGACGCCTGTCGCGACCAAACCTGCGGCATCCCCGCGAGGCCGAGGCCGCGGGCGACGTCGCTACTAAAAGTTCTACCACTCAGATGAAGCTGTAATAAGCCGGCTGTCAATGGTGTTGGTTTTTTAATTTAATTTGGCTGATCTAAAAACATTGTCCCTTTGAAATTGATAAGCAATGAACACATTGATAATGTTTCTAGATTTATCAAATTATGCTTTTCGACGCCATTGCCCTTCACGTCGTACACAGATTGTACGCCATGTATTAAAGAAGAAATTATGCCCCGTTTCATCATTAATACAAAAATTAACTACTTATACATGGTAACCTCAAAAAGTCGGCGTTATTTGCTAAATTTTTATATCAATTTCTTTGAGGAGTGCCTCTTGGAATTTTTTTATACCCCTGGGTACAATTTCCGATTTATAAATATGATAGACCTTTGTACTTTATTGTGCACAACAAGTCGATGTGTCATGTCAATGTATAAAAAATTACTAATATTATAGTCAGAAGTTTAACACAAAATAATAAGTCCGTACAATACCTTCGAATTAAGCTCCTTAACTTAATTTTACAGTGGACAATTAATTATAATATGTAATAAGATATTGAATTAGGACGTCAGCGTAATTCACCGCAAGTAAGATACTATAAAAATATGGTTAATATACAGAGTGTAACAAAAATATTCAGCTAAACTTCAGCTTGTGATTTGATCCAGAATGAACACATGAGAAAATTAATTACAATTTAAAAATCGTTTTGTTTTAAAATTCAATTTAAAAACTTTGATGCCCATTCAATTATTCTATTGACCATGTACAGTGTGTAGGTAAATCCAAAATATTTTTTTGACATTTAATTTTTTGTCAAGTTGTTATAATTAGAATTTAAAAATAAAAATAGTTCGAGAAACAACGACTCATAGCATACATTACATTTAATTTCTACTCAATAATGGAATCTTATAACATTCAATGAAGGTAAAATGAAAGTATCATAAAGTTCGAATGAAATAAAACAATTCAAATATAATAAAAGTTACGAACAAAAATTTCAAAAGCTTAGCTTAAGCTAAATAAAAGTAACAATTGTAATAAAAGTAATTGCTGCCGATTATAATAAAATTAAAATAAAATCAGATTTTCAAAACTAGAATCTGTTTGTATATAGATAGTCGCTATACCGGCAACATAACGAGCATGCTTACAACAACATTGCCGGATATAGGGGCAATGTAGTCTTCCGGCTATAATGGCGAGGATTGGGGTTGACCCGCATTTTGCGCACTAGTGATGCGCGCCTTTTGCGCATGGTCGTATAAAAGCATTCGATGCATGCCGCCGCGAAATACCCGAGGCGTCTCAAGAGCGGGGCAACCTTAATAGCGCCCAGGGGGCCTTACCATGAACCCTAATTACAGTTCAGTATAGGTTCGTAACGACATAAAAGCGGGATAGTAATATACACTTCATGTAGCGCTATCGACGATTATATATCGTACGATTCATTTTTAGGTCCTAAACTGAATTGTAATAAGAGTTCATGGTAAGGTCCCTGAAAGCATTATTAAATTGTATATGTATCGTGCTATACGCTCTTTACCAATAGTTAAGAAGAATATGAATAGTATAACACACACACTCATATCCACGCTGCAGGGAAACCCTGTGTCATGGGTGTCATGGACACACAGATAACCACAACTTGCACCCAAAGTCTCGAGAGAAATAAATGTAGGCTATACAAATATTTCTCCCGGCCCGGGAATCGAACCTGGGACCTCTGCGTGGCATACCAGCATAGTAACCGTTCCGCCACGGAGGCAGTACGTTAGCCCACAGGGCGCACGTGTACGTGCGTGTGTAGAGAGAGTGACCTTCACCTCCGACTGAACTCTGTGCAAACTTGCTAGCCAACATATTCGCTCTCTTAAGAGCTCACATTCTAAATCAACAGTCTTAGAGGCCGACTGTTACTATGTGTTCGATATTTGAAATGGTCTACTCTATCTAGAGGGACACCGTTAAGAAATGTGTGAGGCGAAATGTGTTAAGAAATGGGTGGAACATTTTTACCGCAGTTATAAATTGCAATCATCTGCTAAAGTTTGGCTTAAGCTCAGGCCACACAGAGGCGGTACAGCGGGAAAAGCGGTTCGGGAGCGGACCTGCGGGAAGCGAATGCGTACCGGGGCGTGCCACACAGCAGTCCCAAGCGTAGTTCGCGGCGGAATAGCGGCCTGAAGGCGGCCACCACGTTTCATTTTTAACATAGATTAGGGCGTTAGGTCCCGCACCGCCCCATGGCAGCATATGAACTCATATACACAAAAGTTCCCGCGCCCGGAACGCACCCGCAACCGCCTCTTTGTGGCCAGAGCATTACCTTTTTGTTATACCTATAACATAATCGAAAGTTTGTTATTTTCATTATACATTACACTATAAGTATGTGTAAATGAGCTTCTTGTCAACATTACGAGAGCATCGCGGTCATGCTGCAGTCAATGCGTATGTGTGAATATGGTTGTGTGTAATGTGTAAGACAAAAGTTCTTAAGTCAATAAAAAGCTTGGAAAAGGTCTTTTACTGCTTCATATTCTAACACGTACTTTTAATTCATAGTTATTTAAATGTTTTATTTTAGTTAGATTATATACGGTTGTATGCTTGGAATCTTAAAATCTTTAACTAATTAGTAACACATATTATGCTCTCTGTACCTCTGTAATGCTAAGTGTAACTGTAAACGGAAAGTGTAACGGTACATTTTCAAGTAAATTTGATGCTTTTCACAAAGACAAAATTAACTTTTGATTTCTAATATTCCTAAAAAAGTACATTTGACATTATGAAAATTCGAGCTACCGTTATTTCGGGCAAATGTATTTTCTGACTTCTAATAGGTAATCCCAAGCCCTAAAACGATTACAACAATATTTTGTTAGCTATTGCCTTAGACTATGGAAACTTTTTTCCATCCTCTAAGGTTATTGCTAACGTTCAATAAAAAATCGTTTTAAAAATAAGATTAAAATCAAAGCGTTTAAATAGTTTCTTTGTTCTAAATATTTCAATCGCTTCTGGTTCGAACAATTGAAAACGACCAAGAAGTTTATATAAGCTTCTTGAAATTGACGTAATGGGTCTCTTTCCATCTTTTAATACATGCAATGTGTAGAAAAAGGACAGTTAGCTATTTGATCATTTTGTTTGCTTTTGTAATTTATATTTTCGATTCATTTATATATAAATTAAATACTATATAACTGCACAAAATAACCTTTTAAATGATAACTATGATAACACAATGTATTTCTATATTATTAAAATCCTATTTTTACACTTTACTGCAGTAATTTTTACAAGTTATTATTATATAGTACTGTATGATTGACAACCGCGCTGTCATTCGAACATACGAAGACTATTGCACAATTGACGCTCTGTATGTGATTTTAACGCCCAATAGGTGCGGACACTTATTAGCGCGAACCGGACGTCTATTTGTTGGTAGGTCAATGATTAAAAGGAATTTGTTCAAGGGCAACTTTGATTTATGTTTTTTTGGCTCTCCTGTAAAATTTTGTCTAACTAGGTTTTGCTCTGGGGCAGCCGTAATTTATGTACACGAAGCCTTAGGAGGTTAACAGGAGAAATTGCGGCGCGTATATTAACGATTTCGCGTTCATCATTAGCTTGAAATGTATGAGTGCTTAATACAAATTTTGTTTACCATTCGAGTTACTTCCATTTTAGATAATATAGTGTGTGTTACTAATATGACAAAGATAAATAAAATTTTTAGAAATATGTAACCTAGAGCTAAATAAATACGTGGCAATTATGTCTTGACACATTTCTAAATAAAAAAGTAATATGTGTTGACGCGTAGGTGAAGCGCGACACTAAGCGGGAAGTTAGTGCTGCTTTTTTCTTTTTAAAATGTGAACTCCATTAGCGTTTTTTTATTATTTGCACGAGCTAAAAAAAATTAATTGACGAAAGTTACCGTCAACAGAGTAAATCAGAAACACTGCTCTTCGCCGCAACGCTACCTGAAGCTAGCACCACATTTGTAGAAATTCAATCGCAGAGTCTCTATTTTGTTATAGTGTTGATAACTGTAACGAAATGGCGATCTTGCAATTTGTTGGCGGCGTATAACATTCACACCATAGACTAAAATCATTTTAAAAGATTCTTGTATGTTATTTTTCCCTTTAGATTAAATACTTTCTAGAAACGAGCCTTAACACACCACTTTTATTAGAAAAGTAAGATAGTTGTGTAATAAATAGGTTTATTTGATTTTGTTTCTACTGTTCTTGCACAGCCAATGATTCTTCTGAATCTGTTTCATCTAATATGTAGCAGCATTATTATACTTTTCTGTTAATAAATACTTGATTTCTATTAGAGCTTTGGTTAATGAAACCAATAAGTATACATATTCCCTTTGTTAGTGCATAAGTTAGAAATAAAATTTAAGATAGATTTGGTTTTAAAAAAGCAACACACAAAATATATATGTGTATATATATATATATATATTACTCCAAAATTACTAATATCCTAAGGAAATTATGGGATGGATCAAACTTGGCCCCTCTGACCTTGTTCATGGGTAACCCCATGAAAATATAAGATTTTTGTAATAGTGCGGTGTAGGTTCATCCGGTCATGTGTGGTACAAACCTATCTGCCTCTGTAATAAACAACGCGTTTGCATTTTGGTAACTTTCGAGATATTGGCACCTATTTTCATTTTTTTGAAAAATGTCAATTATTATTACGCTGATTTTGCTTAACAATAAAACAAACTAAATAAGATTAAAAAAACCGCTTATAGGGGGTTGTAGATCTCGTTTCGCTGGTTCTCAGGTATGTTAATAACTCAATTTCGCTAAAAATGTCGATTACGTTGCTTACTTGTTTATAAGGATGGCAATAATATATACCAACTAGATTTATGCAGGTCGCAGGTGTTGTCCACTATGCTCACATTTTTTGGAAAGTTGATTAGAAATATGTAAATGAACATGTTTTCTTGATTATTAATTATACGTATAGATGTAATCTGTGTTGCTGTGTACCTATAAAGAATTGCATTTCGATCTGTCGTAACAAAATTAATTACTCTAAATAAAGACCTTGTCAATTATGAAAGAGTTTCTTTTCGTTTGTAGTTGCTTCATTTACCTTGCACCTTAGAGGATGGAAACCTTGCACATTATCGCTTTCGCAGTTAAAATCATCAACTCGATGAGTTGAAACAATGAGTTGAAAAACCAGTGACCGCATAGAATATTTGAGAACTTTTTAAAGCTAAAAATGTTTATGTACCAATATTTTACGAAATATAATAGAACATACGATCGTTGAATAGAACATATCGAGCTAGATCTTGTATTAGCAGTTTGTGTGGTTTGTGATCTCCGGAGCGTTCACAAAATAAGAGATTCTATCAGTCAATGATACTAAGTATGGAGCGTTCTTATCGCTAACGCCCACCGTAGAGTTAAATTTAATCAATACGCAAATGTAATAATAGCCCATAATGCTACTATAAGTTGTATCCCTCCCTGTAAAATAAGATTTTAAATATGTAATTGTTTCTTGCATAATTTTTATTATAGGCATTGACCAAACTGCATATTTGAGAATATATACATAGTTTCATAGTTGCGGCCTATGTAAAAAACGTGCTAATGAATACTTTCGAACGCGGCTTAATTGAAACGAAATTGTACGAGTCAACAATACACAATAACACGAGTGGTAGAGTCCTGAACTAATTTACTCTCGTACATGATGCGTACATGGTTGTACTCTTCGCGTAGATACTAGCGCCGCAAGGTGTGTTCGTATTGGGGCTTTGAAATTTTGCACCATTTTTATTAGCCTGTTTTCCACAGATTATATACTCTGTTTTCCTTCAGCAAAACAATAAATGGAAATGTTAGCGTGTCAAAACTTGTTTTAATGTTTATTTAATTGTATTTTGTGTGATTTGTGACCAAATTTATTTATTTTAGTTTGAATTTGCGGATAGTCCGTCAATATGTCGTCGTTTCAGCAAATGCTGTCGTTTCGTAAAGAGTTGTTTATTATGAGTAAATACAGGATTATTAGGAGGATTGGCGGTGGTTCCTTCGGAGATATATACCTTGGGATCAACATCTCCAATGGGGAGGTACGTACGTGTACAGTTTGTTACATAAATCTCTTTTTTTGGGATATAACTTGTGTGACTTTGAAAAGTCACTCATGTTATATCCGTCTGTGGAAGTAGATTGTGAAATTTGATCAAAGTATCGAGGGCAGTGGATTCATAACGTTATTATGGGCTCAAGGACCTCTTGCTGTCATTTGTTGATGTTGATATGGGATGAGTATTAGTATGTTGAGAGAATAATAAAGCTACAGGTTGGGTTTTATTCATAAAACGAATCAGTGAAGGCTGATAACATGGTGATTTGAAAAGAAATTTAGGATGAGTGTCTTTAGTTTTCTAAAGACACTCATCCTAAATTATTATTAATCCGATTATTATTTTCTTACAATTTTCATCACTAAAAATTACAGGACTTTTAATCCATACAAAAAAAATAAATTTTATTTTGATACCTCACACGTAAGTTGTTGTGAATCAAAATACCATTTTTTTCTTTTTAACTTAAATAATATTATTTTTATATTTATTAATATTTTATTTATTTAGGATATATTATATCCTTTTTATGTATATGATAGGTTCCATATTTAAAATAAAGAAATCACTTTGTGTTATGTTTACTTTAATAACCTATAATATATAAAAAGAGAATTTAAAATAAATTAAAAAGCAAAAAATGGTATTTTGACTTACTACAACTTACATGAGAGGTATCACTTTATTATGAGTTGATTTCACATAGAGTGATTCGGGTGATGTTTGTGATTTGAAGTTTCTAGAAAATAGTGATATAAAGTGAAAAAAAATCAACTTAAATATTTTATAGAGATAATTTATTACGAAGAAAGAATTGACTTATAGAAAATAATTTAAGAACAAATAATAACCAAATAAAAAGGATTCAATTAATATGTTATTAAGTTACCAAAAAAACTACACAACAAATAAAAAATCAAAAACAAACAAACAAAAAGTCAACAACAAAACAAAATCAATTGCAACAAAACAAAATCAATTGCAACAAGACAAAATTTGAACAATTATCCCAATAATATCACGCGAAGCTCAAAACAAAAGAAAACAACCCGCATAAAGGTGGATGCACTCATATTGATGCAAGATACACAAGAGT